TCCAGACAGCAAGCTTGGCACGGAATTTATTTACAACCGGCTCCCATAACTTCTTGTTCCCAGATTTACCATCCACGGGCAATCCCAAATAAAGGAAAGGTGCTCGACCAACCCCGCAGCGTAACATTCCCGCTGATCCTTTTAGCCATTTCTCTGACACATTATACCCAAAGACACTGCTCTTTCTAAAATTTATCCTCAAGCCCGACATAAGCTCAAACCATTTTAAGACGTCCTTCACCATACGTATGTTCTCAGCATCTGCTCTACCCATAATAATTGTATCGTCCGCAAACTGGAGTAAAGACACGGACATCCCTTGCTTTCCAATCTCAATCCCATGTAACATTCCCTCCGTTACTGCTCTCTGTACTAAACCTTGTAACCCCTCTGCAATCAACAAAAAGAGAAAAGGAGATAAAGGATCACCTTGTCGCAATCCTTTACCTACCTCAAATTCCCTTGTCGGGCTCCCATTTACTAGGACCGAAATTCTCGCGGTTGAAAGACATTCCGTAATCCAACCTCTCCATTTCGTTCCAAAGCCACATCTCTCCATCATCCAATCCAAGAAAGACCAATCTACGCAATCGTATGCCTTTTCAAAATCTGCCTTAAACACAAAAGCCGGTTTTTTCCTCTTTTTAACCTCATCCACTACTTCATTCAACACCAAAACACTATCCACCAACTGACGGCCCCCCACAAAAGCAGATTGGGTGTCACTCACTAATTCTGATATCACAGATTTCAATCTATTAGCCAGCACCTTCGCTAATAATTTATATACACAACCAATCAAGCTTATGGGTCTAAAATCCTTTAGTTCAACAGCATTCAATTTCTTAGGAATTAAAGCTATAAAAGAAGAGTTCAGTCCCCTAACCAATTTACCATTCCGATGGAATTCAGAGAAAAAATTGATGAAGTCCTCCTTTATGCAGTGCCACGCAAATTTGAGAAAGTTGAAGTTGTACCCATCCGGCCCCGGTGCCCTTGAACCATCACAGCTCCTCAAGCCTTCCTCAATTTCTTCAACCGAAAATGGTCTTTCAAGCCATTCTTTTTTCTCCTCCGAGATCTGCTGAAATTTAAGATCCCCAGGCTTGGGTCTATTCCATGAGTCTCCTTGAAAACACTTTCTAAAATATTTGGCAATCTCATTTTTAACTGCATCTGGTTCTTCACACCACACCCCCTCACTCATTACGCCTACTATGTTATTGTGCGCCCTTCTCCCGATAGCAACTCTATGGAAGAAGCGGGTATTCGCATCACCCTCACGCACCCATTTATTCCTTGACTTCTGCTTCCAGATAAGTTCCCTCTTTCTTATACAGTCCCACATCTCAGAGAAGCCTTCTTGCCTTTTAACTATCTCAGCTTCTTCTAAATCTGATACTTCATTCTGCATGTCAACCTGCTCTATCTTTTTCACGGCCTGCCCATACAGAGCTTCCATGTTCCCAAATACTTCCTTGTTCCATCCCTTTAAAAACTCCTTTAACAACTTTAACTTTTGCTGGCATTTATACCCTGCAAACCCCTCCACCTCCATCTCGCTCCATTTTTCTTCAACAACCTTTTTGAATTCTGGGTGTTGTTGCCATGCATCCAGAACCCGAAAAGGCCTAGGACCCCAATCTGTTGTTCTGGACTTCAACACAACAGCACAGTGATCAGAGATATTCCTTGGCAATGCTTGTTGAATCCACTCTCCTTCCATGTTACTCATCTCCGTACTTAACAGGAACCTGTCCAGTCTGCTTCTTGCTCTACCATCTGGTTTATACCAAGTATACCTTCTATTTGTCAATTTAACATCCACCAAATCTGTTGCCACAATGAACTCATCAAAGTCCTTCATACCCAGACTCTCCCTTAATTTTCCTCTTCTCTCGTCAGGGCCTCTAACAGCATTAAAGTCCCCTGCTATCAACCAATATCCTTCCTTGTCTGTTTTCATCTTCCTTAGTTCCTCCCACAACTTAGCCCTCTTTTGTCTATCATTTGGGCCATACACATTTATAAGAAAGCACTGTTGTTTACTTACTCCCCATTCCCCTGATAATCCCACAAAACCGTCACCAATTAACTCTTCCCTCTTAACAAAGTGCCTCCTATCCCATATACACAGTAAACCCCCTGAAGCTCCAGAAGAGTCCTTCGCAACCCAGTCAAACTCATCAGAATTCCACAACTGGCTACAAGTACCAACATCCATCCTTTCTAATTTTGTTTCCTGCAAGAACAAAAAATCGGGCCTCTCTTCTTTAACCATCTTTTTCACCTCCTTCCTTTTCAATGTCCCACCCAAACCCCTTACATTAAAAGATATAAGCTTCATAATCACTTCTAATCACACACCGCCTCTAATCGCCTCCAGCCTTACCTCCCCGACTCGTCCCTTCTTCCTTCTACATCCCGATCCTCTGCCTCCAATAATTTAGATTGTATCTCCTCCTCATTATTATCAAATTGAAAACCCAACCTCTTCCCCACCCTCATCATCCAACGCACCTCAAGGAGATTCATCTCTCTCTGCAACACCCTATTTCTATTTTCAATGCACTCATCCGAAATAGAAACAGTACCAGCGGTGCATACCTTGTCATCCCCGGTTTGTCTAGCGCCCCCTCTCCTTGACTGTCTCTGCTTTGTTCTGGGTGTCACCCACGGTGTCCCTTTCGCCTAGATCTCCTCCATGATTTCTGGGTAGCATTCTTGAAGAGGCCTCTGTTTTTTGCCCTCTGTTTTTTTCCCCGATTTCTGCAATGCCGGTGTATCCACTGTTCCTTTATTATTTAAACCCATGCTCATTTCCTTTGGCTGCCCCTAGTCCATCCTTTCAGCAGGCCCACCGTTAGTTTCTGGCCCAACAAAACTCAGCCTTTGAGGCCCATTATTCTGAGTAAGCTCGTACCCTTCATTCCCCTCCAAAACCATCCCTGTTTCAATTTGTCCACAGCTTTCATTTTTCGCCAACGGCTTCGAATTTGAATTTAAATCCAAATCCTTCATTAATTGCTCTGAATCAGTACTCATATCCTCGCCGCCGCATATCCCATCCTTATCCAACTCAGGATCCTCATTCTGACTCCACGCTACTGAGTATTCAGACTCCGTTTCCAAGTCACTTTTCCGGTCATTCTCCGACAACCACCAATCCGGATCAGAGCGCCACTCCTCTTCGACTATCTCTATCTCATACACCTTCTCTCCCACTCTCAGCTTAGCTCGTTTTGATATCTTGCTAGAATCTGAGCATAAAATCAAAACTCTCCCATCCCATAAGATTGATTTCTTCTTTGTATCATCATGAATCATTAATACTTCTCCTATTGTCTCACCTATCATTCGGAAACACCTCTCACTCCATGCCTTTAGAGGCACTCCCGTTATTCGCAACCACACCATTCTACTTTTCTCCTCTGTTGCCTTCTCCCATGGTTTTAACGACTCAAACCACAATCCAAACAACTCCTCATTTAGCTTCATATACTCAACTAGGTACCCTTTGACTCTTTCCGTTAATAACATATGTTTTCCCCCGATTGGTGCTAATGAGATTGAGCCTCCATCGACATCCAATTGCTCCTGAATCTCTGATACCGAAGCCATTGATCTCACCTCTGCCACCATGCCACCCTCAAGCCATTGCATCTCCTCGCCTGTTGGGATAAATTCGATAGTCTCCTCTCCTTTTTCCACTACCTTATTCTCCTGGGCCCTTGTTGAAGCACCTTATCCGAAGTTGCTTCTTCATCCCTTTCCTGCAGATTAACTGGTGCCTTTTCTGTCCTCTTTCCCTGCCCCTTCACTGCTTGTGCATATGAGTGCCCTGGTTGGATCAGCCTATTCATGTTCACCGTTGATCCACTATCCTTTACTTCACCTTGTAGTTTCCTGGACATTGATGATTTCCGTTGCCGATCATTTGCGATCTTCACTCTGATCTTGTACGAGCCAATCCAGATCCCATTTAGCTTCCTTTCCATCTACATCTCATTATTGACCCCTGTCAGCCTCACAAACCCAAACCTCTTCCCTCGCTTGTCACGTTTTCTCGGAAGATACACATCAACAACCTTACCATACATCTAAAAACAGTTCCATAAAAATTTTGCCTCCAATTCCTCTGGGAAATTATAAAAGAAGAAAGTCGTTGACCAGCCGGAAAACTGATTATTGTAACCTGCCTCGCTGTTTCTGTGCCCTTGCCGCTGTCTGTAGCCTTGCCGCTGTCTGTAGCCTTGCCGCTGTCTGTGGCCACCGTCTTTCCCAGCTGCCGTTCCCCTTGCTGTAACCCGCGTACTCTCCATATACAGATCTTGCATATTAACAAAACAGGTAAACTACTTCAAGGGACGAATCAAGATGGGATTTGGTTAAGATGCACACTAGTACATAAATTAAGGAAATGCAATTTTCTCATACTTAAGTGGTTTAGCCCTTTTTCTTTTGAATTTTAGAATTAGGTCATGTTATATTGCCGGTAGCAAATATTATTTGATCAATCAAATTATAAAAATAAATTAAATTCGATAAATTTATTTAGAAAGTTAGGAATAGTTAAGTAGTATGTTGATAATTTTTTATAAAATTAAAGGATTAATGAAGTGTATATTATTTTTATTTTTAAAAATAAATATTCATTAATTCTTTATTAATATAAAAGAAAATTAGATATTAAAACTTCTATGAAAGTTTTTTTTATTATTACATTAGATGATAGGTTACGTATATAACACAAAATAGGTTATGTATATAACACAAAATAGCTCTACTCTTTTCAAACTCCTCCTTGTATATTTCAAGATTTTTCATGATTTAAACTTGATTTTTTCAATATAAAGGCTTAAAACTCTCAACTACTTTGGTATCTCCTTTGAGACATGAGAATTTAATAATTTTACTTTATTTTTACAATTTGATTAAAAAATAAATATTACCAACCAAAATGTCTTTAAGTCTTAACTCAGGATAAAGTAATTTTCTTAAAGTTGATCTATGAAAAATAAAAAACAAATTGAGACTATATATCCTTGTGTCTCATTTAATGGTTCCATGAGTCTCTTGAGTTAATGCTCGACCCGTAACGAGATAAAGACTTCATCTTCACAACAAAAAGTTAGTAAAACATTGGGCCCACGTATCACTGCAACAATTAACACACGTAATGTCATTATTATCAGTTTGGAAGGATAGTTTTCAGTCGAGCTGTTTTAATAGAAAGCACGAATTTACCAATGGCTATGTTGCCGTTCCACATCTGGGCGATGTTTTTAGTTGCGCCTCATTGGAGTCCTGGTCAAGGGAGGGGGTTGAAAAGAAAGAAGACATTATTGAAGCTTGATTAATTCTCTGAGAATTCTGAGATCATCGAAGTCATTATAATATACTCCGTAGATGAAATTAAGAAAGGAATCATCGATCAAGTTTCATTCCTTAATTTCACGCATTCAAGTAGTGCACACGGTAGAAAAAATTTCTGAATTGTAAAATCGTGGAAGTTATATATACAGATGAACTTAAGAAAGCATACATTGAAGAGGCAGCTTCGTCTCCATTCATGCGTTGACGAGACCAGCTAGATTACGTGTAGAAAAAATATTCATGCGTCTCCATTCTAAATGCATGGTTACCTTTAAATGCAAGTCTGGATCTAAGAAAAGTCTTTAAGCTGCTTTGTGGATTTTAGCAAAGCAGCAGGTTGGAAAGCCATATTAGTTGACATTTGAGAAAATAACACTTATTTTAAAATCATTAAATAAAAAAAAATTAATATAAAAACTAAAACTAACTTAAATTTGACTGAAAATTGTACCAAAACTAAGGTGTGAGTTGTGTGAATGGTACATAAGAAATGAGAAAGCTAAATTTGTTAAGTTATACATAGGAACTCCACCAAGCGATTTGATTGCCGTGCGCCTCAAAAGGCAGGTGGGTTGTTCATTCGATTTCGAAATCGAATTCTCAGTTGCTAACACCTAACAATACTAACCTACTAACCATTGTCCTTATAAAAAAAAAAAAAGTTATACATAAGGTTAGGGGTGGCCAAAACAGGTTTCGGTCTAAAATTGAAACCGATTTTGAATTAACCAAAAAAATTTGGTTTTAATTTTGTAAACCAAAATTGAACCAAAATTGTTATAAGCTAATCGGTTTGGTTACTGATTTTTATCAATGAAATCGGTTTGGTTTTGGTTTTTATTA